ATCATTCTGTACTACATTTGTTTTGTTTAATGATAGTCAGTTTTTTCTGTATACAGTATTTATCTGAGCTGACATTAAAATATGAGCTAAAGTCCAGGAAAAGAAAGCTAGGAGAAAAGCAGATGATAATATAATCAGAAACAAATAAACTATACTACCCAGGGTGGGGCTACTTCAAGAAAAGGCATGTATAGAAAGTATACTCTAAATACTTTTTTTAAAGTATAGTTTTCCATACTTATACTTGGAGTAGTTTAGTTTAGAGACCCAAGTACTATACAAATATTCCACCTTTGGCCCTGACCAGTGTGGTTCAGTTGATTAGGCATTGTCCCTTAAAGTGAAGGGTCTCCATTTGATTCCTTATCAGGGCACATGTCTGGGTTGTGGGGTTGGTCCCCAGTTGAGGCTCATGCAGGAGGCAACCCACTGATGTTTCCCTCTCATGTTGATGTTTCTCTCCCTGTTTTTCTCCCTCCCTTCACCTTTCTCAAAAAATAAATAAATAAAATCTTGAAATAACAACAACGAAATATTAGTTCAAATTTTCTTGAAGATAACAGTAACTACCCTTAGCCTTTTTAAAAAATTGATCTCAGAGAGAGAGGAAGGGGGATGGAGAGAGAGAGAGAAGGAGAGAAAGAGAGAAATGTTGATTTGTTGTTCGGCTAATTTATGCATTCATTGGTTGCTTGTTGCATGTGCCCTGACTGGGGATCAAACCCACAACCCTGGTGTATTGGAACAATGCTCTCACCAACAGAGCTATTTAGCCAAGGCCAACTGCCTTTAGTCTTATAAACAATATAAATCCAGGATTAAAGAGAAATAATTATAATAAACATAGCCAGAACCTGACTCTTGATTCCTGCTGTAGAGATGCTCATCTAAAAAAGTTCCAACTGTCTGAAATCTTCACTTTAGAATTTTAAGAGGAAGAAGTCTCCCAGAGAGATGTTACCTTTGGCATTATGCATTTACCATGGCTAGGGTAAAAATCTGCTTTTGCATTCTGCCACTTTTATTTGAGATTGGCAGATGAAACATTGCAAAATTTGGAAAATTGCAACGATGGCAGTTCGGCCACCTGGTCTCATTTAAAGTGTCCTTCCCCTGTCCCCACCCCCATGCACTATATTCAAAACCTTTTAATTTCTATTTCCCCACTGAACTCCTTAGAGCTAAGAACTTGTCTGCTGAGAAGTTTCTCCCTCATTTGGAATTAACACGTCCAGAGTCAACTTGAGATCATGCAGTTGGCGATGACTTAAACCCATGTACAAAGCCCAAGATGTCAAGATTATGCACTGCACGTTTCCCTCCCTTCTAAGTCTCAATGCTGAATGAACTTGGGAGCAGCACGTTCTTAAATTAGCAGCAAATCATTGAAGTTAGAGCCTCCTTAGTGCTCAGTGCACACAAAGTACTCATCTGTCTAATTTAGTCTCAGCCCTGGCTGAGAAACAAGGTAAAAATAGCAAAATTTGTTACATTCCTTCATGTCTGAAAGGCCTATGCATTGAGGCTCTCTATCCTTAGTTGGATGTTTTCTTGGCCTGCAGAAGGAAAGCTGCATCTACGTAGTAAACTGCAGCAGTTTGCATCCTGGCACTGCCCTTGTCCTTGCTAAGACCCACCTGATGGGCACATTTCCTCATAAGATTAACATTAGTGAGTCCTGCAATTTTTGCAAGTCTCAGTGGTCTCCTCTGTGGACCAAGAGGTGTTTGCCAAAAGCAACCCATAGGTAGAGTCCCTGTGTCCCCTGCGTCCATGGAAACAGCTGTTCATCTCTGGACAAAACTGTCATACATCGGGGTCATCATTCTGCATGAACTAAACTCAATACTCCTCTCACAGGCGATAGTAGGACTCTGTCTGTCTGTTAAGTCAGCTTGACTAATATAAGCCTCTACATACCACTGAGGTCAGAATTCCCAACCAAACTCTAAATAAAATATAAAGCTCAAAGTCACCTGTCCTGACGTCATCAAAAACCATTTCTTTGGATATATATTTTTCTCTGTCCCATAATTCCATGTCTTTTTGCTTTATTTCTCAATGCTAGCAGACAATGAACCACTTTTTGGAATCTTCTTGAAGGTCCACCAAATAGTGCCCTTCTCCTTCTGGCTTCTAAACACGTTGAGAAATAAAGTAAAAGAATAGCATAGATGATATGTCCAAACAACACCATTCCTACCAATGAAAGCTTAATTCAAGACCCAAATGGACATTGTACCAAATCCCACAATGAAAGTCACAGTAATGCTGGGCCCTGATACAGGGAGTTTCAATTTGTGACATCTAATGGAGGTGAAGAGAAGGCAGTAGTACTAGTGCTGCTCGGAAGTACAGTATCAGGTTATCCTTATCATATTGCACTGTTTCATAATTTGACGAAACATCATTTTGTCCACCCAACTAGAATTTAGCATGGGTTCAATGGTACCCTTTGTCTAGAATAAGAAATAAGTCAATGGAATCAGCCCTTTACTATTCTTGTTAGGGTATAACAACCACCTCCTGTTAATTTTAGAAGCTTTGTTTCATTGTTCCAGAAACACTGTTTGGATCTGTTCTAAATCAGTAGCCAATCAGTTTAGCTGCTGCTGGTAAACATGGGCCAGGTTCTGCTTTCATCCAGCTTAGATTTCTGGAAGCAACTGAATGGCATTCAGCCTGGAAGATCTCCTTTTGGTTGCTGCTATGTTGTTTTGTTGTTGTTGTTATTGGTGGTGGTGGTGGTGGTGTGTGTATGTAAGTAGGTACAGCAGTGGAGAAGGAAGAATTTAATGGGAGGTACTGTCTTTAAAAATAGTGAGAATAGAGCTACTGGAATGGAAATGTGCCTTTGGTTAGCAAATGTGAAATTAAATTAAAGGCACTGACTGAAAGTTTACAGGGAAAACCAGGAAAAAGTAAGACTATTGGAAGAAAGCAGTACTCTGAAATAGAAGAATGGATGGGGAAAAACAAATGTTTAACACTGAAAATTTGTAATTTCCTAAGAAAATGCGACCTAATCTTTTCTAAATAGAGAGAAAGGAAACTAAGAAAGATCAGAGATTTAGAAGTATGGTTTCATATTTAAGAAAAAAGGTCTGCAAACAATAGGGCAATAAAAGATGTGTTCATCATATATGAATGCTGAATTAGATTTGGTTTTATAGTGCATAGCCTAAGGGATTTTGTAAAACTGTGTAATTCAACAGCTTTTTTTTTTGGCGTGCAAAAAAATGTGGTAGACATTTTGAAGCTTATTGTTATTATTTTTATTTTCAGTGAATGAAGCCTTTCTTTCCAGGTGTAAGTCTTTATCTTAAATAAAGCCACCATAATTGCAGAAGGCAATTTGCCATCCCAATCAACCAAGAAAATACAAAAACTAATTATTTAGGGACTAACGTATCTGTATTCTTTTTAAAGTTAAGGATGGTTTTACTTTTAATCCTGCATTCAAAATTTTAAAATCCCATTGATTTTCATTATGCAATTTGGTGTTCTGCTATATATATAAATTTCTAGTGCAAGTTGGATTGCTAGATATTTATTCCTTTATTCTTCATATTCCACATTCAATGTCTAAAAACCGCATTACCTTAACTTCAATTTTATTACATGTTGCGTTGCTGTGCCACATCCCCCATTGCCCCAAATGTAATTCTTTTTAAGCTCAGGAATGGCACAGGTTACAGAATAAACAATAAATTTTATTTATAACTTAAAATGAATCACACCATGGAAAAATGAAGTATGTAAAGATAAAAAAGAAAAGATGAACCACCCACCAAAAACCCCAAATAATAAAAATTTCCATCCACATAAGCACACGTCAACCTCCCTCCCCATACCAACCCCACCTTCCCCGCCTTTTCCCCACTGGGCTCTGCCTCCTTGGGCTCCAGGTCATCTGGCTCAGTTCATTTAACAGGGGCACCATGCTTCAGGTTGCAGTTGGAAATCATGAGCTGCCTGGAGATCCTGGGTGCCTTTGAAGGAGGAATCCTTCTCCGTCCATCTGTGGGCCCTGGTTTCCCAGACCCCAGGTGACCACAGTCACTTCTGGCCTGCTCTGGCCCTTGCTGCTGTGGCGCTCCTGCCCGTCACTGGTGGAGAAGGGGACGGAGTCTTCATCGACCAGCTGCTGCACCTCCAGCGGCCTTGGGAGGCGGCCAGACAAGATGACGACAGCCTCTGATGCAAATGTCTCTAGCCGAGAGATCTGGGTAGGGGCAGTCTTAGAGTGTTCTTGCTTGGTGTAGTAAGGTCACTGGTCATCAGGAAGTGAAGTCACTGCTCTTGTGTCAGGAGATGCTTGGGGTAAGTGACCCGGGCAGTGACCTCACAAAAGAGTGAGGGAACTTGAACCCTGGTAACCGGGCAGCCAGGATATAAAGCTGCCCCTACCCTGGTCAGTTGGCTAGGGATGGTGAGAGGACAGCCATGTTCTGTTGCTGTGTGAGGACATCCCGAGGCCATGGCCTCACAAGAGGAGGCAATGAGGAGAAAAGCGGACGCCGTAGATGGAGGGCATACACAGGACGCCTGTGGCCCTTCTCACGGCGAAATACAGAGGTAAAAGAGGCAGGACCAGGGAGGTTTTGCTTGGGCCAGGCCACCACTCAGATCATACGTGAGCAGCCCTAAGATACCTACTTGTGTTAGTGTCTGTGTGTGTGTGTTTGTGTGTGTGCGTGTGTTTATGAGGAGGCGATAAAAACACTGGTCGGCCTCTCATGCTCACACACCAGGTAAAGACTGGCAGGGTGAAGGTGGATAATGGATGGGGCCCTCTGCACGAGGTTTATCTCGAGCCCTGGAGGTGAATCTTACTTTCCTGCTGGTGGTTTGAACAAACACAGGGAAGGGCTTGATGATGAAGTTGAAAGACTAGTGGGAAGAAGCACCAGCGACTAGGGTGAGGTAGGGCTAGAGGCCTCCCAACTGGCTACGAGCTACTGTCATTACAGACTTCAAAACTGGATCCACAGGAGGGGATGGCGGCTGCTGTGACGGGTGGCAGACACCAACCTGGAGAACCAGCTCCCTCCACCAGGTCCCACCGTATGCCTCGGATAACAAAGGCTTGGAGGCATCGTGGAAGGAAAGGCAAGTTTTGGGCAAAGGAGGAGTATGCTCCTGCCCCTCCTGACATGACACGAGAAAAACTAGCGACACAAGAGTCCCGGTCCAAAGGTTTGAGTGGGGCAAGTCCGTCAGTGAAGGTGAATGAGCAGGTGGGAAGCTTAAAAAAAAGAGTAGGTGCAGGAATAGTGAGACCTCGAGCCACTGCACAGGGGCAATAAAAACTGGGCCTAAGGAGCCTGCTGGAAAGTCTGAGGCTTCCTGTCCAAGAGGGGTAATATCACTAGGGGCCACTAGGAACGGTATGGGCGTCTTCCACATTTGCAGACCCCTTGATATACATACATGCAAGTCATAATCTCACCTCTCCCAACCACAGCACCTGGAACCAAGGAAACACCAGAGAGGGAGGAACCCAGCCCCGTCAGCGCTGGTCAGGGCCAGGGTGAACCATCCACCCAGGGCTCAGGTGAGTACCCCATGGTGGAGAGCGGTCACCCTCCTGGATATCCAGGTCCCTCCAGTGTCCAAAACATTCATGAGACCTACAAGTTTAAGGGGTTGTGTCTCAAGAACAAGCCCTCCATGGCAGAGGGGGAGCAGGTTGCTCTCCTTCCTGAGGCCATGACAGGAGCTGGGGAACAGTGGGAGTCCGGGACGAAAGGTAGGAGTTGGGGTGACGTCCTTGTGGGATATGGAAGGAGAGACTGGGTGGCCAGCTTACTGAGAAGAACAGGTCCCAGACCCAAAGAGAGGGCCCAGTGCAGTGGGCCATTGCAAGGATAGGATTCAGCCTAAGAAAGCTGCTACAAAGTCTGAGGCTTCCTGGTCTCGAGTGGTAATAATACTAGGAGCCACTAAGAATGTTGTGAGTATGTTCTGAATTTGAGGAGCCATTGTGATGTAAGCATGCAAGCCATAACCTCTCCTCTCCCAACCACAGTGCCTGGACCCAGTGAGATGCTGGAGAGGGAGGAGCCCAGCCTTGTCAGCGCTGGTCAGAGCCAGGGGGAACCATCCACCCAGGGCTCAGTCGAGTCCATTGTGGTGGAGTGTGGTCACCCTCCTGTGGATCCAAGTCACTCCATTGTCTGGGACATACCCGAGACATGCAGGTCTCTGGGGCAGCGTCGCAAGAAGCCCTCCATGGTGGAGGGGGAGCAGGCTGCTCTCCTCCCTGAGGCCATGAGAGGAGCTGGTGAACAGCAGGAGTCCAGGGGGAAAGGTGAGAGCTGGAGAGAGGTCCTTATGGGATATAGAAGGAGAGACTGGGTGGCCAGCTGACTGGGAAGAACAGGTCCCAGACTCACAGAGGGAGCCCGATGCAGTAGGCTGTGGCAAGGACAGGCCTCAGCCTAAGAAACCTCCTCTAAAGTGTGAGGCTTCATGGCCTCTTGGGGCAATAACACTTGGAGCCACTAGGAACGTTTTGGGTATGTTTCGAATTGGAGGAGCCATTGTGATGTAATAATGCAAGCCATAACCTTTCCTCTCCCAACCACAGCTCCTGGACTAAATGCGACGCTGGAGAGGGAGGAGCCCAGCCTTGTCAGCGCTGGTGAGGGCCAGGGTGAACCACCCACCCAGGACTCAGGCGAGTCCATCGTGGTGGAGAGTGGTCACTCTCCTGGGGATCCAGGTCCCTCCAGTGACCATCAGGACCCTCCTGAGAACTGCAAGACTCGGGGCCCGAGTCAGAGGAAAAAGCCCTCTGTGGCCAAGGGGGAGCAGGTTGTTCTCCCTCCTGAGGCCCCAAGAGGAGCTGAGGAACAGGGGGAGTCCAGGGCAAAAGGTAAGATTTGGGGCTGGGTCCTTGTGAAATATGGAAGGACAGACTGGGTGGCCAGCTTATTGGGAAGAACAGGTCCCAAACCCACAGAGGGAGCCAGAGCCAGTGGGCCATGGCAAGGAGAGGCCTCAGCTGAAGAAAGCTGCTGCAATTCGGAGGCTTCATGGCCTGTTGGAGCAGTGTTACTTGAAGCCACTAGGAATGTTTTGGGTGTGTTCCAGTTTGAAGAGTCTTTGGGATGTAAGCATGCAAGCCATAATCTCTCCTTTCCCAACCACAGCTCCTGGACCCAGGGAGAAGCAAGAGAGCGAGGAGCCCAGCCTTGTCAGCGCTGGTCAGGGCCAGGGTGAGCCACCCACCCAGGGCTCAGGCGAGTCCACCGTGGTGGAGTATGGTCACCCTCCTGGGGATCCAGGTCCCTCCAGTGACCACCAGGACCCTCCCGAGACCTGCAAGTCTCGGGGCAGGCGTCGGAAGAAGAAGCCCTCTGGGGCCGAGGGGGAGCAGGCTGCTCTCCCTCCTGAGGCCCCAAGAGGAGCTGAGGAAGAGGGGGAGTCCAGGGCGAAAGGTCAGAGTTAAAGCGAGGTCCTTGTGGGACATAGAAGGACAGACTGGGTGCCCAGATTACTGGGAAGAACACGTCCCAGACACACATGGGTAGCCAGAGCGGGTGGGCAATGGCAAGCAGAGGCCTCAGCCTAAGAAAGCTGCTGCAAGTCTAAGGATTCATGTCCTGTTGGGGCAATAACTCTAGGAGCCACGAGGGATGTTGTGGGTGTGTTCCCAATTTGAGGAGCCATTGTGATGTAAGCATGTAAGCCCTAACCTCTCCTCTCCCAACCACAGCTCCTGGACCCAGGGAGAAGCAAGAGAGGGAGGAGCCCAGCCTTGTCAGCGCTGGTCAGGGCCAGGGTGAACCACCCACCCAGGGCTCAGTCGTGTCCACCGTGGTGGAGCGTGGTCACCCTCCTGGGGATCCGGGTCCCTCCAGTGACCACCAGGACCCTCCCGAGACCTGCAAGTCTCGGGGCAGGCGTCGGAAGAAGAAGCCCTCTGGGGCCGAGGGGGAGCAGGCTGCTCTCCCTCCTGAGGCCCCAAGAGGAGCTGAGGAAGAGGGGGAGTCCAGGGCGAAAGGTCAGAGTTAAAGCGAGGTCCTTGTGGGACATAGAAGGACAGACTGGGTGCCCAGATTACTGGGAAGAACAGGTTCAGACACACAGAGGGAGCTGGATGTGGTGGGCCATGGCAAGGGTAGATCTCAGCCTAAGAAAGGTGCTTCAAAGACTGAGGATTCATGGCCTGTTGGGGCAATATCACTAGATCCCACTCAGAACGTTTTTGGAGTGTTCCGAATTTGAGGAGCCATTGTGATGTAATAATGCAAGCCCTAACCTCTCCTCTCCCAACCACAGCTCCTGGACCCAATGACAAGCCAGAGAGGGAGGATCCCAGCCTTGTCAGCGCTGGTCAGGGCCAGGGTGAGCCACCCACCCAGGGCTCAGGTGAGTCCACCGTGGTGGAGTGTGGTCACCCTCCTGGGGATCCAGGTTCCTCTAGTGACCACCAGGACCCTCCCGAGACCTGCAAGTCTCGGGGCTGGCGTCAGAGGAAGAAGCCCTCTGTGGCCGAGGGGGAGCAGGTTGCTCTCCCTCCTGAGGCCATGAGAGGAGCTGGCGAACAGGGGGAGTCCAGGGCAAAAGGTAAGAGTTGGGGCCATGTCCTTGTGGCATATGGAAGGACAGACTGGGTGGCCAGCTTATTGGGAAGAACAGGTCCCAGACACAGAGAGGGAGCCCCAGCCAGTGGGCCACTGCAAGGAGAGGCCTCAGCTAAAGAAAGCTGCTGCAATTCGGGAGCTTCATTGCCTGTTGGGGCAGTGTTACTTGAAGCCACTAGGAACATTTTGGGTGTGTTCCAGTTTGAAGAGTCTTTGGGATGTAAGCATGCAAGCCATAATCTCTCCTTTCCCAACCACAGCTCCTGGACCCAGGGAGAAGCTAGAGAGGGAGGAGCCCAGCCTTGTCAGCGCTGGTCAGGGCCAGGGTGAGCCACCCACCCAGGGCTCAGGCGAGTCCACCGTGGTGGAGTGTGGTCACCCTCCTGGGGATCCGGGTCCCTCCAGTGACCACCAGGACCCTCCCGAGACCTGCAAGTCTCGGGGCAGGCGTCGGAAGAAGAAGCCCTCTGGGGCCGAGGGGGAGCAGGCTGCTCTCCCTCCTGAGGCCCCAAGAGGAGCTGAGGAACAGGGGGAGTCCAGGGCAAAAGGTAAGATTTGGGGCGAGGTCCTTGTGGAATATGGAAGTAGAAAAAGGTCCCAGACACACACCGTGAGCCAGAGCGGGTGGGTTGTGGCAAGGACAGGCCTGAGCCTAAGAAAGCTGCCCCAAGTCTGAGGATTCATGGCCTGTTGGGGCAATAACTCTTGGAGCCACGAGGGATGTTGTGGGTGTGTTCCCAATTTGAGGAGCCACTGGTATGTGACCATGGAAGCCCTAACCTCTCTTCTCCCAACCACAGCACCTGGACCCAGGGAGAAGCCAAAGAGGGAGGAGCCCAGCCTTGTCAGCGCTGGTGAGGGCCAGGGTGAACCACCCACCCAGGGCTCAGGCGAGTCCACTGTGGTGGAGTGTGGTCACCCTCCTGGGGATCCAGGTCCCTCCAGTGACCACCAGGACCCTCCCGAGATCTGCAAGTCTCGGGGCAGGCGTCAGAAAAAGAAGCCCTCTGGGGCCGAGGGGGAGCAGGCTGCTCTCCCTCCTGAGGCCCCAAGAGGAGCTGAGGAAACAGCGGGGAGCCCAGGGCGAAAAGGTAAGAGCTGGGGTGAGGGTCCTTGTGGGATATGGAAGGAGAGAATGGGTGGCCCAGACTTACTGGGAAGAACATGTCCCAGACACAGAGGGATACTGATTCAGGAGGCGGTGTCAAGGACAGGTCTCAGACTAATAAAAGCTGCTGTAGTCTGAGGCTTCATGGCCTGTTGGGTGCAATATTTCTTGGAGCCACTGGGAACGTTTTGGGTGTGTTCCCGAATTTGAAGAGCCATTTGGGATGTGAGCATGGAAGCCCGTAACCTCTCCTCTCCCAACCACAGCACCTGGACCCAGGGAGAAGCCAGAGAGGGAGGAGCCCAGCCTTGTCAGCGCTGGTCAGGGCCAGGGTGAGCCACCCACCCAGGGCTCAGGCGAGTCCTCTGTGGTGGAGTGTGGTCACCCTCCTGGGGATCCAGGTCCCTCCAGTGACCACCAGGATCCTCCCGAGTCCTCCAAGTCTCGGGGCAGGCGGCAGAGGAAGAAGCCCTCCGTGGCCGAGGGGGCAGCAGGCTGCTCTCTCTCCCGAGGCCACTGAGAGGAGCTGGCGATACAGCGGGGAGCCCAGGGTCGAAAGGTAAGCAGTTGGGGTGAGGTCCTTGTGGGATATGGAAGGAGAGACTGGGTGGCCAGCTCACTGGGAAGAGCAGGTCCCAGATACACAGAGGGTGCTGGATGCAGTGGGCTGTGGCAAGTATAGGCATCTGCGTAAAAAAGCTGCTCCAAAGTCTGAGGATTTGTGGCCTGTTGGGGCAGTAACACTAGGACCCACTAGGCACGTTTTTGGTGTGTACTGAATTTGAGGAGCCATTGGGATGTGACAATGGAAGCGGTAACCTCTCTTGCCCTATCCACAGCACGTGGACCCAGGGAGAAGCGAAGGAGGGAGGAGCCCAGCCTTGTCAGCGCTGGTGAGGGCCAGGGTGAACCACCCACCCAGAGCTCTGGCGAGTCAACTGTGGTGGAGTGTGGTCACCCTCCTGGGGATCCAGGTCCCTCCAGTGACCGGAATCGGAAGAAGAAGCCCTCCGTGGGCGAGGGAGACCAAGCTGCTCTCCCTCCTGAGGCCCCAAGAGGAGCTAGGAAACAGCGGGGGCCCAGGGCGAAAGGTAAGAGCTGGGGTGAGGTTCTTGTGGGATATGGAAGGAGAGAATGGGTGGCCAACTTACTGGGAAGAACATGTCCCAGACACAGAGGGATACTGATTCAGGAGGCGGTGTCAAGGACAGGTGTCAGACTAATAAAACTGCTGTAATTCGGAGGCTTCATGGCCTGTTGGTGCAATATTTCTTCGAGGCACTGGGAACGTTTTGGGTGTGTTGCGAATTTGAAGAGCCTTTGGGATGTAAGCATGCAAGCCGTAACCTCTCCTCTCCCAACCACAGCACCTGGACCCAGGGAGAAGCCAGAGAGGGAGGAGCCCAGCCTTGTCAGCGCTGGTCAGGGCCAGGGTGAACCACCCACCCAGGGCTCAGGCGAGTCCACCGTGGTGGAGAGTGGTCACCCTCCTGGGGATCCAGGTCCCTCCATTGACCATCAGGAGGTTCCCGAGACATGCAATTCTCGGGGGCGGTCTCGCAAGAGGAAGCCCTCTCTGGCCGAGGGGCAGCAGGCTGCTCTCCCTCCCGAGGCCACGAGAGGAGCTCGGATACAGCGGGGGCCCAGGTCGAAAGGTAAGAGTTGGGGTGAGGTCCTTGTGGGATATAGAAGGAGAGACTGTGTGGCCAGCTCACTGGGAAGAGCAGGTCCCAGATACACAGAGGGTGCTGGATGCAGTGGGCCATAGCAAGTACAGGCCTCTGCCTAAGGAAGCTGCTCCAAAGTCTGAGGATTCGTGGCCTGTTGGGGCAGCAACACTAGGACCCACTAGGAATGTTTTTGGTGTCTACTGAATTTGAGGAGCCATTGGGATGTGAGCATGGAAGCCCTAACCTCTCTTCTTCTAACCACAGCACCTGGACCCAGGGAGAAGCCAAAGAGGGAGGAGCCCAGCCTTGTCAGCGCTGGTCAGGGCCAGGGTGAACCACCCACCCAGGGCTCAGGCGAGTCCACTGTGGTGGAGTGTGGTCACCCTCCTGGGGATCCAGGTCCCTCCAGTGATCACCAGGACCCTCCCGAGACCTGCAAGTCTCGGGGCCGGCGTAGGAGGAAGAAGCCCTCTGTGGCCGAGGGGGAGCAGGCTGCTCTCCCTCCTGAGGCCATGTGAGGAGCTGAGGATTGGCAGGATTCTGGGCTGAAAGGTAAAATTTGGGGTTAGGTCCTTGTTGTATGGTAAAGGAAAATGTAGTCACTTTGTTGGGAAACAGCTGTCAGATGTACAGTGAGAAGTGAAAATAGTTGTCAAGGGCAAAGTGAGACCTTCTCTTTGAAGTCTGCTCAGACATTTGCGTGTGGACATGGTATGTGGGACAGCATGTGAAGCCACTCTAGAGTGGCCTGTTAGTTTTCTCTTTTAAGGACTTTTTTATGTAGGCATGGAAATGATAACGTCCCATCTTCCAACTATAGCCCTTGGCAGCAGTGAAATACCAAAGAGCAAAGATCTGAGTCCCCTAAGTGGTGTTCAGGGACAGGGTATATCATCTACCCAGGGCTCAGTGAAGACTGTTGTGGTGGGCTGCAGATCCTCATGTGGGGAATCTCATTCCTCGACTGACCTCGTTTTGCCATAGACTCCTAAGCCTCCGGGGCCATGGTTGAATCCACATGTCTTTTTGATTCAGGGGGATCCAGTTCCTGCCCCTCATGGAGCCTGTCCTACTAGGATCTCCTGAAATATCTTCGCTCGATCCTGCCTTTGTTCCTGCCAAGGAGGACATTCATCTGGAAACCTTAGTGTCATCTGTAGAGCTCATTTTCACTCAACCATCTATTTCACTCCCTGCAGGAACTCTTTTTCCTCTCCGCTCTGACCTTATTCCTTGTTTCACATTATTGTGTCACTGGGCTGCCTTCAATTGAAATATTAAAGAAAAAGTTTTGTTATTATTACATATTATGCTATTTGTGAGGATGATGTACATTCACATGCTGTGCAAGTGTTACCTCTGTCAATGTGATGATGTTCCATCTCGCAAAAGAAGACTCCGCACCAAGTGCACTGCGCCCCACTCCTCCTGTGCATGGCAACTCCTGATCAGCTCCGTGTCTTCCTTTACCTCCTCTGGATGATTCCTACAGATGGAATGTTACAATAGGTGTCTTTTTCTTACTCACATATGTTTGTAAAGGAGTATCCCAGGTGAATTAGAGATCAAATGTAAAAAAAAGAATCCCTTTGGGCAATGTGTGCATAATGCTGAGATAGAGACCTCTTTGCTAATTGTGTCTGCAGGGCTGAAGCCAGGCAGGCAATAGCTGACTCTTCCTGTGCCTCAAACAAAAACTAGAAAAATGCAGAATTCTGGAAACACAAACCAGGGGCTGGAAAATATTCCTCATACCCTAAGGCCAGAGGAAGGTTCAACTTTCCCGTCATGCAGCAAAATCTCCAAAGTCTGTGTTCTCCAAAGGGAAGAGGGGCAAGCACGTGCACTTCCAGCAAGAGGCAGTGCTCACACCACTACATGTCAGAGGTTTGTGATCTCCCCAGTGGGGACCCATGCACTGTCAACAGTTGGGAGAGAACCCTGTCCCCATCAGACTGGTAGGCTCCTGGTCTGGCGGCAACCAGCCTTGGGCACAGAGCGAGGAAGCAGAGGCCCCAGCAGATCCCTGCAGAGAAAAAGGGAAAGGCGCCTCCTTTGGGAGGACAGTGTGCAGGACCTGTGCACGTTTCACAGGTGCTCACCTTCACCTCAAAGTGCTCACCCTAGGGGGCTACCCCACAGAAATTCTTGCACAAGTTTCCACAGATGCATTTTCCAGACTACCCATCAGAGCACTGAAGAAATAGCTGGGAACTGGTAAAAATGCTAATATCCATGGAGAGGGGATAGGACCCACCAATCTGGGTCCACATACATGAGGGAAGCTGAGCAGCTGCTAAAGTGGTGCCAACAGATAAGGACCTCAGGGGTCCTCTCACCTGAGATATGTGGGGCAACCATCTGTAGCCAGGATTCCACCTGTTAGATTACATACATGTGATTTCAACAAGCAGATGAGTGTATGTGAAAATCACATGATACTATGTATAGAGAACCCTAAAGATTCTACAAAACTGCTAGAACTGATCATTGAATTCAGTAAGCTGGTGGGATAAAAAATTAATATACCAAAATTAGGTGCATTTATATACACCAAAAAGGAACTGTCGAAAAGGGAAACTAAGAAAACAATACCATTTGCAGTTAGATCAAAATAAATAAAATACCTAGGGATAAATCTCACCAAGGTTGTAAAAGACTCAGAAAAGACTCAGAAAATTATGAAGCACTGAAGAAAGAACTTGAAGAAGATACAAATAAGTGGAAACACCTACCGTGTTCATGAATAGGAAGAATTAACATCATTAAAATGTCCATAGTACCCCAAAACTCTTTAGATCCAATATCACTCCTATCAAGACCCCAGGGATGTATTTCACGGAACTAGAACTAATATTTCAAAAATTTATACAGAACAACAAAAGGCCCTGAATAGCAACAGTGACCTTGAGGAAGAATGAAGTTGGAGGAATCACAGTATGTAATATTAGACTATACTATAAGGCCATAGCACTGCAAACAACATGGAACTGGCATAAAGAGAGCCGCAGATATCCATGAAACAAAACGGAGGGCCCTGAAGGAAACCCACACATTATGGTCAGTTAATATTAGACAGAGGAAGCAAGCACATACAATGAGCTAACGATAGGTTATTCAATAAATGGTTTGGGAAAATTGGACAGATAAATGCAGAAAAGTGAAATTAGTCCACCTTCTTATACCACACACAAGAGTAAATTCAAAATGGATTAAAACTTAAATGTTAGACCCCAAAACATAAAAATCCTACATAGGCAGTAACATCTTGGACATTGTTCATAGCAATATTTTATCTATTATACCTCCCCAGGCAAGGTAAACCAAAGAAATAATTCAAATTTTAAAAGTCTATTGTAGATATAATGATATCTTTAATTATTTGATGAGATTTTATAATTTTCCTGTGTTTCTTAGAAACACATTGAGAAGTACTGTTTTAACTGTAGGCACACAAAGTGCAAACGTATGTTTGATTTAAAGGAGGTATTTTGATTAAATGTCCTTTTCTTATTTTACATATTGATCCATGGATGTGGCATATCTTTCTGTTTGTTTGTTCTTCATTTTTTTCACCAATATCTTATCATTTTCACTGCACAGGTTTTTCACATCCTTTGTTCAATTTATTCCTAAGTATTTTATCATTTTTATAGTTATTGTAAATTGGACTGGCTTTAACATTATGTTTTTAGGAAGCAGAAAAAGAAAAACTAGCCTAAAGGTAGCAGAATGGAGGAAATAAAGAGCAGAGCAGAAATAAACGAAATAGAGAAAAGAGAAACAATGGAAAAGATCTGTGAAAGTAAGAGCTGGTTTTTTAAAAGAAAACCAAAATTGACAAGGTTTT